TAATGTGCATTAATATGAAACTCCAAAACCAGCTTTCTACTGGTCCATGCAGATAGGGCCATTTCGTAAATAATGCCCTTTCTGATATTGCAGAGTTCTGGGATTGCTGCATATATTATTATTTCCAAATGTAATAATATTAACCCGTAACACACAGCTTCTCCATCCCCTTTCTGCAGCTCCAGTAAACCCCCCTCAAAGCCGTCCCTGCAGAATCCAGCCTGCCCTGCAGCTGCACCTGCCCCTGCCCCAGGAGGGTTTTGTCTGCCCTTCTGCTCAGGACCACGAAGATGTTGTAGGAAAGCAAAGGTGCTGGGGGGGCTCCACACCACTTCTCACTTTCACTTGTCAGGTGGCCCCAAGTACTTTCACCTCCTGATCCTACTTTAAATCTTTACCACAGCAGCAAGGAGCTCACCCTGTGGGATGAGCTCTGCTTTCAGTGCACTGTGACAGAGATGGGATGTCTGACCCCTTCCCGTGCAGCTGAGCAAATTCAGAACCTTTGGCCTTCAGGAAGAGGGAAAGGCACCCACACAGCACTGCTCAGCACTTTCCAGGATTTATCCCACCCTGCACATGCTGAGTGGTGATGAAATCGTGATTAAAGCAGTGTATATTACATTATGTCCAGCTTTAGAGAAATATTTTAATGGCATAAAGACAGAGCCATACATTTTCTTTTTTTTTTTTCTTTTGGGTTTAGCTGTAAGCTTCACCTCCTGGTATTTACAACCTGAAGTTCTCCAATATTGGGTTAGCTAATGGGATCCAGACAATGAAGCTGACTACAGGGAAAAGCAAGAGACCGTTTTAGTTTCACCAGCCAAGGGGAAGAAAAGACCCAGCCTGATAAATGGTGAGAAGTATATTAGACATTAAAAAATGTTTCATTTTTAATAATCCTGGGTGTTACTGACAACCCAGGTAAAAATCAAAGTTCATTTCTTCAAAATATATTTAATCTGACAGTATCCTTTTAATTAAGTAGCAATTTAGGTTTTCTTCTCCTCCACATACAAAGCTTTAATGAAACATGAAAGCCACGAAAGAAATTTGAGTGTGTTTCATGGCAAGGCATGAGGACTGATTTTCTGTTTAAATTCACAGGCAGCAGCTTTACAAATAACATTTAATATTTGTCGGAAGTATTATCTGCCTTTTCCCCTCACAGCATTACATTACTAAGGTAATAAGTACATGAGAATACACGATTTCCTGGCTACTGTATTGAATATGCACCTTTAAACAAAGTTAGACTTGGGAATTTACCCATATCTTAAAATGCTAATCTAACACTAATTAAAAGGGCGGTGAACGCGCTTTGATGGATTCTGGTTCGTGGCATATGACAGATGAATTCAGATGGCATGCAGGACCGCAGCAGAATTCCAATAGCAGAGCTGCAGAGGGCTGGGGGGAGCCAGGGAAGTGGTGCAGGGGCAGGGAGGAGGCAGAGCTGCAGCTCTGTGTGGGTTCTGCCATCCTCCCACGGCGTGGCCAGGCACAGCCTGTGCTCCTCATCTCACTTTCCAAGCAAAGATTTGGGTGTTCCTACATCCCACCCACCCTCCCTGTGATGGATGCACCTCCTTGCTGTTCACTGGGCAGTGCTGGGCTCCTCAGAAAGGGTAACAGCCTCCCTGGGGAGGAAAAGCCACCTGGCAGCATTTCCTTTCTCCCACCAACACAGGTCATTCCTCCAGCCCCTTCAGCCCCATGAGTATCTCTTGCTAAAGGAGCATAAAGAGACCAGGTAAATATTTCTAGGTGAGACTCTATGCCCAGTATCTCCTGTAAATAACTCTGTCTTGTAGATCTTGCTGTCTCAGAACTAGGAGAAGATTAAACCCCAGCTTGTAATGCGGTTTGGAGCTGGCCTATGAACCTGCAAGTGCATGCCCCTTTGGGACTGGCTGCAGCCCTCTTCAGAGGCACTTATGGCAGGAGCACATGTAAGAAGCTAACTGAACATTCCTTTACATTCCTTCTTCCCACATGAGGAAAGCCAAAATTTAATTCATGGTAATTAAAAAGTTTGGTTAAAAGAGGTCATATTTTTGAAACAATCTTCTTAGGTGTCATTCTAAAAGGATCTGGAAGTTGGAATTTCCATGTACCATTACTTACCTGCCTATGTAAAGCAGATTCAGTCCTTCCTTCTTACACAGATGACATAATTCATGATATTCCTTATCCCTATTGCCCTTATAACCCTTAAGGGAGGGTTCTCCCTATAGGTAGCAGTGGAATTTTGAGCATCCCATCGAGACTGAAGGACACTCTTCCCACATGTATGGAAATATCCCAACCACTGAAGCACCAGGAACCCCAGGGCTGATTGATCCTCCCTAGAAGCGACAAGTCAGTTTGTACAAACAATTAAATTCCCACTGGATCAAAACACTGCCTGTCCTTCGGGGTTAATGCCCCAGTTCATTCACAGCCTCCCTGGGAGGCAGTGCAAAGTTTGAGTGGATTTCCATGCACCCCCTGGCAAAACCAGAGACTGCAACTGAGCAGAGATCAGCAGCATTTTAATAGAGGGACCTGAGGTGGCTCTGCATGTTTGAAAATCGGGCTTGGAGCACTTTTTCCAGGGTCTCACAGTGAAATGGTGCCAGTGCTGGCTGCTGAGCTCTGCTCTTTTGAGGAATGTCTACCCTGATTTTTTCAAACAGGGCTCAGGGATGCTCAGAAGGTTTGATGGAGTGGGCAGAGCACGAATAGAGCTCACAGATCTGGGGCTGGAGCTGGCTGGTTGCCACCCAGGTTGTACTGAGGACAGGATGATCTTAGCCTGGCCTGTAGAAGACCATGGAAGAATATCCAGAGCCCCAGCCTGCACCTTAGAAACAAGACCAGACTGCCCTTGCAGGGGGGTGGGGGAGACAGTTTTTTCCAGACTGTTCTTTTTCCCTTTGTGAGGGAGGATCTTATTCTGAGCACAGCTGACTTTCTAGATGAAGGAAACTCTCCCAGTCACCAGTTCTGCTTGATCTTACTATCACAAACTGTGTGTGCACCTCTAACATGTTCCTTGAATGCCACTTCTGTGTTCCCTGCTCTTCGATCAGAGACAAATAAACGAAAGGCAGCATGATGCCTGTTATCTGAAAAGATTCAGGTAGAGCAAGTATCATAGCACAATCAGGGGGCTTGAAAATTGTATTTTCCTGAAAAAGACTTCTACTTGCCTTCTTGGATCACACACAGAGGAAGTCCAAGGTCTAGAGGGAGAAAATAACTCTCAGTAACTGAATGTTTGAACATTCATACAGGATTAATTACTTGTTTTATTTTTTTTTCCTTTAATTTTAAATGATTGTACTGCTAGCAGAAGTGGAAAGTAAAGACTCTGATCTATGCCAGGCACTTAGTACATGCAAATACTCTGCAAGTTTTCCCTATCTTGAAGAATTTCAGCATAAACTACAAAGGCAAAGTGGACTGAACCGATCCCTGGAGAAAACATGTGCAACTCCACTTCTATAAAAAGACTGCTTGCTTCAATAGATCTGTCCCCATTTATCCTCAGGATGAATTCACACATTTTTTTTTTCTACTATTAGATGGACATCCTATTTCTAATGGAGTCTACGTGATCTAAGCACTTCCACTGATTTTTTTTTTCTAGAAGTAAAATTCCCTGCTCAGAGGATGAATTGCATTGCTGAGCAGAGCTGTGAGGATCAATCGAGGCACATTAACATTTGCAGTGCCATTATGCCAGGTCTGAAATGCTGGGCTATACAGGAGATTTCAAACAAAGCATCTGCTCAGTCTTGGTAAAGCAAATCTTTTGTCTGAGGAATATTGCACGAGCAAATTAGTGCACCAGGGATTAGACTGCTCTCGAAATGCCACCAAAATGCAGGCATTTCACAACAACTAAATAACATGGGAAGAACTGTGAATTTCCAACAATTATTCCCCAAAACCTGTTTTCACAAAAATTTGCATCCTAGATGTCATTGTGGTTCATAAATTTCTAGTTAATGTTTACTTAAGACAATAACTTAGTCAATTGAAATATTCAATACAAGACAAAAGCAAAAGGTGTAAGACCAGTGGGTTATGAGCAGGGGAAAGGAGATGCTCAGAGCAGATTAGGGGTGAATCACAAGGGTTGCAGCCAGGTTTTCCCTGTATAAAAGTCAGATGTCAGGCTGCCTGTGCTTGGTTATGATTAGCATGAGATCAACTCCCTGTATCCTGTGACTCACATTCTCCACAGCCTTGGCCAGCTTTCCTAACCTGTCTGTGCTCCTGTTTGGGGGGGAGGAAAGGTGAATTTACCCTCGGGCACCCCTGAGTGAGCAGTCCTGACTCTGAGCTGTGTGCATGGCCAGTGGGACAGCGATGAAGTGTTTGACTGAGGGGCAATTCATCTCCAGGAGCACTTTGTTCACACCTGTGCAGGCAGGACACGTTCTGCCCACACCAGAGGGAGCTCAGACACGCCAGGCAGAGGCTGTGCTACAGCCTGATCTTCCACACTGCATGAGCACAGGGAGGCACGTTCAGAAGCACCCAGGATTGCAGAGGCAGCCTCACCAGATTACACTGCTGACACGAGTGGTTTGTGTAATCTGTGAACTCCCTCCTTCCAAAGCAAGGAGCTGTGTTGATGAAGGTCTGAGCACTCCGTGTTGGCACTGAAAATGTGCCCTACATGGTCAGTTCTCCCCAGCCCCTGTCCAGTGCTGGCAGCAGTGACTGGTACACCTCTGGCAGCAGCATCTGGTTATCTCATGTGACAGCAATGAAAGGGACCCCTGGGCTGTGATAAGCTCCAGCTGAACCACACAACAACCTTCCTGGGAAGGTCTTTTTTGTTATTACAGCAGGAACTGTGTGGAATTCCACAGAGCTCACATGCTGAAATACAAACAACAAGGAGGCAGCCTTGAGTAACCTCCCTGTACCCAAACAACAGCAAGGGATGCACCCTCGACTTGTGGAAACCAAGCATGTTTTTCAACAGACAAACTTTCTCACCACTGACAGCAGAGGAGCTGGAAGAGTTTCCACCACACATTTGCCTTTCTTTATCTCTGGTCTTGCAGCCTGTTCTTGCTTTCAGTTCCTCCCTTCCCCTTTCCCACAGTTCAGTTCCCCCTTTTCCTTGCATCAAAGAAATGGGATCCGAAGCCTGGAATCACAACACTCCCTTCTCCACAACTCATTCCACTTCAGCTTGCTCAAGGCTGAGAGAAAGCAAACAATCCAGAAACCTCGGAGGTAAGACCCAGATTTTCTGATGGAGCCCATTAAATCCAGTGAGAATCCCATTCTGAGGATCTGTAAATACCTGCCAGAACTCTGGCAACATGCAGTGTGGGACCAATGAATATTAATGCAGGAGAGCTGAGCTCAGGCACCGGCAAAGCAGTCAACACTTAGGAGAGCTCCTTCCATACAGTCTGTGTCAGCATTTAAGTGCTAGATTATGTTTAGCAGCACCAAGCACAGCAGTCCCCTGCTTAATTTTCTCCACCCAACAGTTGCCTTCAGAGTTTAAAGATTTATACACCCCTGTGCACTCAGCATTGGAACAGCAGCTAATTTCCATGCCCCTTAGCAAATGCAGGTCCATGTCTCCAATCCTTTGTTTTCACACAAATTTTGTCACCCTTATTTGTTCCACTCTGACCAGTTTTGGAGTAAAGGATCTTCTTGATTGAGGGCAGCAGAATATGATCCCCAGACTGTAGTCTGTGGCTAAATTGTGCCACTTTCATGATGAAAGAGTCTGGCAATATATTCCTAGTGCATGGGTTTTTTTGATTGAATCAGAAAAGAAAAAGAAAATTAATTACATCAGATAATTCTATGCTTCAAATCCATATTTAACAACAATGTCCAGCATTATCATCAGCTACCCAAATCAATGAAGGTGATTCCAGTGGGAGTGCTGTGAGACTAAAACTGAGCCCTGGAGTACAGTAGGACCTGAAATAATGTGAGAGGTTTATACCCTCCCTCTTTCCTCTTCTAGAGGAATCTCATCCTGCCTTTTCCTCACCTCCACTCCCCCAATTAGCTCTACACAACTATTTGTGGACAGGCACTCTAAACTAAATCACTGAAAGGAACTGCTTTAGAAATACACCCTTTTTCCTTTAGGAAGAAGCCACTGGAAAGCAAGGAGAACCTGCTCCAACACAGCAGGCAGGTAACCTTGAGGCCCAACCCCAAAGGCTGTGAGATGTGACACCGATCTTTAAAAAGCCTGCTAAAGGCATGACATGAAATAGCAGCCCCACAGAGCCTGGAAAAACACGCTGTTGCTTGACAAAGTGCACCCAAATCCCTTCCCTGAGCTGCTCTTTAAAAATTAAAGTGACCTAAAGCTGAGCATATTTTAAAGTGTTGTTTGTTAAACAAACAAACAAAAAACACAGCGAGAGAACCAAAGAAAGTAATTCTTAACCAAGAGTATTCTGTGATGGATTTCTGCGAGCGAGGCCCTTGGCATTGCTGTGGTGAAGGTAGAGGACATTTTATAAATGCATTTCTATAAACAGAAAAGTATTCAAATTGGAAAAGCCCGTCTGGCTGACTCTCCCCCTCTGCAGCTTGTGTACTCCTTCAGCAGATAACAGAGCACAGCTCTTGCTAGCAGGCTGCTCTCCACATTCTCTTCATTAACTCTGGGAGAAATAAAAGCTCCCTTCGACATTGTTTGATGGTAATTAGAAGCTGAATCAGGAAATGTGTCAACCTGCCGACGTTCCTCGGGTGTTTACAGTTTATTCTGGCACATTACACCTCGTTTTATTTAGGGCTTTCTTAGAAACCTCTGTTATTACAGGCAGTGTAGTTGGAGGAGCTGGTGACATACTCGGAATATAATTGTGGAGAAGGTGTTTTTATAAATTTCACACAAGAGGAATCAAGTGTTGAAAAAAATCTCAGTGCTCCCTGGATATGCTGGGAATCTTTTCAATTCACAAAATAGGATGATTTTTCATTGCAGATACAGATGATTCGATGGAATCAACATTACCAGAGAAGATGCAGACTGTTTTTCTTTATCCCTTTGGGCAGCACTGGTAAACTCACAGTACTAGCAGTTTGGAATCAATGGTCTCTACCAGCAGAGGCCACGTAGCATTTCAGTCTTGAAGAAGATCTGAGAAGTTCTCTACCCAGGAAGCTCTAAAATACCATAAACACTCTCTAGCTAAGAGTCCACAGGCAGCATTACACTTCACCCTGTGTCTGAATGTGCTGTTTGGGCTGTATGAATGTTGCTCATCTCAGACAGGCTGTGAACAAAAGGATGAACAAAACTCCCTCTTGGGCTACCAGAAAGCAGTCAGTTCTCATTTGGGTAAGAACCCTTATTTCCACACCTGTCTTTCCTCCTACACGGTAAGTATTGCACCCAGCCCCAGCAGACGTTGCCAAAGGCTGATTCACCAGGACATGGCACAGGGAAACACGGACACTCACTTCAACCCGTGCTCTCTTCAGCCTGGCCTGAAGTCACTTCCATCGGGGTGAGTCAAGCAGTCAGCACACCTGGGAAGCTCCCAGAGACACGAATGCACTCTGTAAGTCAGGATGATGATTCAGTAACTGACATGCCTCTCTGACTTGGAACTCAACCAGCATCCTGTCATGACACTGCCTTTTCACTGCAAACAGCTTTCTCCTTCCTCACACGGTGCCCATCGCATTTCTGAGCACAAGGAAAGAGCATGACAAGAGCAATCACATGCAAAATCTGCAGAGCTCCTTTTCTAAAGCTGGCTGTTTGCATTTCTTAGTACCTTTGTAACTCTTACACTTTTTGAGGACAAAACATTATATTCCAGGTCTGATTCCAAGGAAAGAAACAGAAGAACTCTCAACCCTCTTACAAACAGTTCCACATAGAAACCAGGAAGACAAGATCTGATGGTATAATAAACACAGCTGGAGGCAGATCAAAGCAGTGCAGGCATTTTTCAACAAGAAAGATGACAACTTTCCTCAAATGAAATTAAGGTTTCTGCTTACTCTTGCGATGCTCAGAACATCTGCATTCAACATCCCGGTTTTTTTACTCTCTTGGTGGGACAGATGGTAACGAGGTGCCCAATTCCCAATGCCCTTCAACCTTAGGCACCTGCCTCATAATTTTTCAAGACTGATTTCTCTCTGTTATTCTCAGCTTTGACAAAGTACAAACCAGGAGATTCCATTTGCCACTCTGCTGCCAGGTTTGCCCTCACACAAACTGCTCACCCTTCGAATTCCTCTTTTTAGCCACCCCATTTGTGAACTAAAACCCCACCCTTTTACTAATGTATTTAATACTTTTTAAGATGCTTTGAGCTTGCACTAGAGGTACACTATAAATACACCCACACCTAAATTACCAACATTCAAAAATAACAGGAAAAATACTCGTTGGTGGATTAGCTGCATAAGATCAATGCCAAATAAAAATCTACTATGGTTTTGCTAAGGCCATTTAGTGCTGTGCAATCCTCATGAGGCAAATATTTTTGAAAGTGGGGAATGCTCTGAGATTAGGCAATACATTACAGTTTTTGATCAAATGCCAGAAGCCATAGGTGAATAGGAAACAGACATCAGTAATTACAGTTCGTACTTCAGCTATTTCAAAACCCCTTGCTTCAATGAGCAAGTATTAACTGGACAGACACTCCTTCACAAATTAGAGGCTGCAAAGACTTATTACACACCATATTTATCTTTGAAACTTGTCCAACAGAATTAAACTAAAAAAAAATAATGATACAGATTATGGTTGCAGGCAAAAAACTATTAAAACTCGAACAACTAGATATATATGTTTTTATCTGTCAAACTGTCCCTGCAGCCACGCTTTGGTTAAGGAGCTCAGGAATGTGGTATTAAGAAATCCTAGTAATTGTATTAGTATGCTGTTGTCAAACTTCAAACTGGCTGTATTTTATCACAGGAGCTGATAAAAGAGTTTCTTGATTGTGCAGGCCTTCGAACGCAACAGAATGGCAAGAACAGGAGGTGAGAGCAGAAATGCAACTTTTTCCTCAGAAGACTTAAGGCTACTGAGGATATCCAAGATAGCACCATGACCAATGCTGGACAAAATATGACACTGTGGGGGAGAAAGAAGTGGGGCAAAACTAGTGCAGGCAGTTCTGATCCTCAAGCCTTCTGAGGGGAGGAAGGTGCTCAGGCAAGGCTGCCTTTTAACTGTTGCCCAGCTCAAGATAGCATCGAGTGAGCTCCTAATAAATACTCAGCCTCACAACAGATTCATACCGAAATTTATAATTCAAGCACATTCCTCTAGGTTTGTCAGACAAGAAGCTAATGCAAACTTTTCATTTGCTAAAAGAATTATTATTACATCTCAAATTTAGTTCAGCGTAAGACATTTAAGCTGATTAAAAAGTTTAACTAGTTAAATTAACTAAACCAAGCATTTGGATTGTTTTAACACCATTAAACAGAAGAAGTTAGGTCTCAGAATGCAGTTTTACTTGTCTGGCCAAAATTTACAACACAGAAACAAAAACTACCAAAAAAAAAGTGTCAGGAATGCAAGACATTTCAAAACAGATCACCAATTCAGGAAGATGCTTATTAAAGGCACCATCATGCATTCATTTATTATGTATTTATAGGATCTCCATAAAGCTGCATTAGGCTTTTGAATCTTCCCTGTTAAACAGAGATTTTCGAACATGGTATAATTCTGGAAATCAACTATAATAAGCAAATAGTTTAGGTAGATAAAAATGCTTGAAATGTGATCATTCTAAATTTATCATAGAAGTAACCCAATGCAAATATTCTGCATACTTCCTAAACAGTTATATGATTAATGGTCTAACATAAAACTGATTGGTAAAGTGAGAAGTGTTTGGGCAATAGCTGGTTTTTGAGGGTTTGGATTTCTTTTATAGAACATTTTCATAACAAAAAACACTGATCCCTGTAAGCAGATCAAGATCTTGATTTGACAAATAAATACTGTTACTATAAAGAGTCATTACTGAAAAAATATATACAGCATATTTAATATATTATATTAGTAATTTAAAATGTTTAATGGAACACTGCTGATGTGTTTGGTACTAAATAATCAGCATCACTCTGCTTTTCAGTACATAACAAGCAGAAAGGTCAACTGTATCTAACACCCATCTTGCAGCTGCTTAAAAAATAACAGAAATTATGGACAGAGCGCCTGAACTTTTGGACAGGAGCACTTGGAACTGAGAAAAATCTCGATGAAGGTTCACGGTGTAACCTGTGTGTTTACACACGTAAACACGCAATTTTCCTTTACAATCACTTTACTAGAGATAACACTTGCTTCCTTCCACACACAAGTTCCTAAAGCAATGTAGTTTGTAAACCTGGTGTGAGATTTATGGTGTTATACTGCAGGAACCTGTTTAGCCCCTGATTTACAATCCTGGCAATTGTGTTCAACTCTGTCATCACAGCTAATTACAGCTAACTGCAGATTACCATACTGCAAACTCTCATCTGTGTGAAAGAAATACGATGTTCTGCTAAAAAAAAAAAAAAAAGACAGAGAATCAAATATCCCGAGGGCTAATGAACAAAAATGCACCATTCCAGCTCGGGCTGCAAAGCTGAACTCTCCGAATTGCTGCCGTAAAACTTCCAATTGCTGTTTGTTGGCAAGGTGTTCTAGCCTCAAGTGCTTCCACAGTAAATCACCATTACGCTAATACCACACCTCTGGCCTGAAACATATTAATCTTGGTTAACAATAACTGACATTTACGTTACTGATTCAATTCGGGCCTTGTGGTGGCTAAACAGACATGCAAGAGCTTCAGGGAGGAAAGTTATTAGTTCTGAATGTGTACTTACTTTTCACTGAGAACAATTTCAAGGAAACATTATCACCAATTCCTGCTATAATCTTATAACATAAACATTCAAATCCTAACTGATCTGTAAAACACATGACTCCGAGTAAAATCTGCATTTGTATCTCGGCTGCAGTTGACTGTACAATGTTAACATGTTTCAGATATTTTTCCAAGATACATATTTCTATATTTTATCTGCTCAAAGAAATTGGTACTTTTAAAACATGTGTTCTTGGGAAGGAGAGAAAAATGGGAATTTGAAATATTCTGAAGAGTGTGGCACCAGGACATGACAAAAACTACCAGATCCTTCCAGGAGAGGGAGGATGGACCTCTTCAGACAATTATTTTGTGTTTCTATTTACTAAGGCTATAAATGCATAAATAATATTGGTTTAAAACAGGTAGGATTGTTTTGCTTTTCTTTATTTAGAGTTCCCCCCCAGCCTTCAAGCAGAAAAGCAGTACTGCCTGCATTAGTTCTGTGTAACCCCAGCAGGAAAACTTCCCCTTCTCCTTACACCCACCCCTCATCCCCCTCATCCCTGCAGTACAGCACAAAACACGTTTGGACCAAGTGTTTTATTCCAAGTTCAGGCAGTTCTCTACTAGACTCCAAATGCATTCTGAAATGCATTAGCTAAGTTTTTCATATTTATGAGAAAAGTGCTATATTTAACATAGGATTGACGTTTAAATAGTATTTTTTACTACTTCATAAGGCAGCACCAAAACAAGCCAGCGCAGTCTAACAGTAGGAAGATAAATACAAGGCACTGGATGTGCTGGGGTTTGTTTTTATGTTTAGATTTAACAAGACGCCTACAAAGATTCTTCAAGTAACAACAGGTATGTGACTTCTGAGGAGAGCAAGGCAGATTACATGTATCCCATGTTGCTTTTTGTTTCCCATCTCTTCTTGGCTTCAAATCTGAAACAGGACACAAACCCCACATTAGCAATCATAAGCATGTGCGCTGCAGGTATTTAACCATGTTGTTCTTAACAACAAAAATAAAACCTTATTTTTAATACTGTAATAAAGACATGAAGACAAATACAGCCATATAACCAGTACATTATTTCTGATAAAGCCTCTGCACTGAAGTCTGATCCACTGCTACAAAACCCCACCGAAACCCAACAAGGTTAAACTAAACAAATAAGATTAGCACAAGCCTATTTCAACTAAGAAAACATTTCACTGAGATTGCATTGTATACACTCAGTGCCAATGAAACCACAAATGTTTAATTCCATACTCAAATGACTTACCCCCAAGCAAGCTTCTTTTTCTTTTGAGCTTCTTGGGCAGCCTCTGCCTCTTGCTTGGCTTTCACGAAGTTGCGGCAAGCAGCTGCTTTGGCAATTTTCACACCCAGCTAAGGCATGAAAAGGAACAAAGGAAAACTCATTAGATGCAAATGGCTCATATGAAATGTAAGCCTCACAAATTACTTGGTCCGATATTGTTTCTCAACAGTCAACAGATACCAAAATATCTTACAAGTATTAGGCTGATGACGTACTGGTAGATGGGACAAACAGCAATGTCTTGAGAGAAACACAAAGGTGCAGGATCCTGGGGCAAGAAATCCTTTCCACCAAGCCCCTGAGTTTCAAAAATAAAAGCAAAGGACAACAGCTCACTAGATCCTTTTGTTTGTTTGTTTGAAATAGGAATACACAAAGACACAGTCTCCTTTATTAAGATCAGCCCCTGACCTCAGCTGTGATATCACAATAGGTCTTGCCAGTATCAAAGACACCCAAAAATACAATTTTATACAGGAAGAGCTGCTACTACCATGCATTTTCCAGCAGAACCACTAACCACTTTTAATCAGTCTGTCCAAAGATAAATAAAACAGTGTCCTTACTGTCTATGTGCCATTTAGTCTTCACATTCCTAGCTTTCAGGTTTTAAGTGTGATAATATGCATGCTTTTCAAATAAGGTTGTAAAGGCTGTAGGTGAATGCCACTTTCCTTCCACAAACTTACTGAAACTCTGAGAATGCACATCACTGTAAGGAATGTCAAGGGGCTGGAAAAGTGAATAAAGCAGAAGAGATGGAAGATGGTACTGTTAACTATGACTGGTTTATTTTCCTTAGATCAACATTCATAACTTGCTCATTGTAGTTACATTTTGTGGTTGCTGTCACGACCTGACATTATGAATTATGGAGGAATTTGTTCTCCAAAGTTACTGCTCTTCTCCAAGACAAGTGAGCAATTCACTGAGCCAAAACTGCTACAGACTGATGTGGCCAAACAGGTTTTCTTTCAATCCACCCCAAAACCTGCTGAAATTAGGAAACATGTTTCCGACTGGACTTTCTAAATTCTCCCCAGATGTCAGGGGAACATCAGAGAACAGAGGCATGGGAGAGCCAGGGGTAAGAACACCCCTTAACACTTTGGTTCCAGGTCCATTACTAATGGCAATACACTTGAACCATCTGCAGCGTCTACACAGACAATGATTTGCTCTGAGAAATGCTTTATCCAGATAAGGTCAGAGAGGACTCCAGAACACATCTTCAGGTGCAGATGACACATTTTCTACGACCATCCCACCAAACTCCTAATAGGTAGTGATCCTTTTGTTAACAACGCAAAAAAACCCCACCAAATCAGCATCACTAGAAGATAATCTACCTTCTGGTCCTCTCAGGGTTCAAGAATCGAGCAAGCAGCCTTTAAGAAAAGGCAGTAAGCACAGCACAGCAATATTTCATAAGCACAGTGCTTAAAAAGGAAAAAAGAATGCTGAACAAGTTTCTCATCCACTTTTTGCTATAAGGTCATAAATATGTACCTATGGAATCATCTCGAGGCACAAAATAATTAATGGGACCAGCTATTTCAATACTTTTATGTTATCTACATAATTTCCCCCCTGAGCCTTAATGTTTTATATAATCAGTAATTCAATGCCAACATCTGAACTGCCACATCTCAGGTCAAAGACTAAAACATAACATTCTTTTATTTGCATTGTCACTTAATATTTAAGGGCAGCTATTAACTTTAATATACTTGCAGTATAAAAATGCCTAAGAAAACTCACCTAAAATATTCAAAAAATGTTTACTTTTAAATTGAAACAGGACTAATTATTAGCTTAAACAATAGAGCACTCTGATGGCTGAAGTCAATCAGCAGAGCCATTCCTTTATCAACTGTATTTTACCTCCTAACACGCTTGAAAATTAACTTGTACTAGGAGATGAATAACAGCATCTCCTTCTATTCTAGTGGCCTATTGAGCACTTACACACGTACAAATATACACAAGTGCTGCAGAAAAATCTTTTTATCTGTATTTCTTGGAAGACAGAATGAGTTCTCCCATCTCTAAAAGGCACAGAAAAAAATAGGATAATAAGATCCTCTGCAGCATGTGGGGAAGCAAAAGGAGAAACATTTTGCAGCCTTGTTATCGTTTCTAGGCCACATAGAGTCACATTTTCAAGACATGAAAACAAATGTTGCATATAAACAGACGCAAACATTTTAGTGAGATTAAATGTCTCCTGCTCCCACCCACGCCCAGACATACATCTTCACTCCCTGCCCCCCCAAAGAGAAATCCGTAAAAGCTTGGTCAATGGGTTTTTACATTCAAAAAAAAAAAAAAAAAAAAAAAAAAAAAAAAAAAAAAAAAAAAAAAAAAAAAAAAAAAAAAAAAAAAAAAAAAAAAAAAAAAAAAAAAAAAAAAAGAAACTGCTAACATTTCAGGTCATCAGATAACTCAATAAAATACAATCTTAAAAGAAGTAAGAAAGCATGAATAAAAATATATACAACAATTTCTTGTGTAGTCAAAGTATCAGCATTTTCCATATAGAACATCCAATATTTTGCTGCATTTTAATTAAGGTGTCTAAACATTATCACAAAGAACTGCAAATTGGTCAGAGCACGCAGTAAGGAAAATTAAGCTCTAAAGGCTTTTTATCACCATATTTCAGGAACCAAGGGTGTAAAATGTTCTAATTTGGGATATATTAAAAGCCATAAAAGGTCTTTCAAAAAGATTAATGGTACTTTGCTTGGATTTAAGATAAGGGCTTTAGCTGGTTGGAAAAGCAGGGCCCTGGCTAGACCCTTGAGGCATTCATCTTTACAGCCACTTGGAAGATTTGTAAAAGCGTCTGCATAACCTCAAGCAAACGCACTGCGACACTTTTTTTTTTTTTTAAATTCCTTTCAATTTTACAGGTTTAAAGTGTGTAAATCATACTGGGTAGTAGGGCTGATATAATGGTTCATCCTTGTAACGCTATATATATGTGTGTATTTTAAGACAAACATAAAAAAAAACACCCCACAAACTTAAGTTTCTACAGGGCAAAGACCTTTCTGTTTTGAAGCTGACCAAAAATCACGGCAAATATCTTACTCTAGATGTTTAATGCAGCATAAAGGAAAATTTTCTACCCCTCTGAAATTGTTACCTTGTAACAAATATCTGAAGCTTCGCCTCTTTTTGAACACTTTCAAGGCGTTTATTTAAAAACGCCAATTATCATACTTTAACTTTTTATGGAATAACAGGTCTCTATGAAAAATATTTATGCCATTCCCTTTTGTTCTTTAATTAAATGAAAACAGATGTTTTCTGAAGTAAAGCGGAACCATTACTGGAGTACTTAAAGTGTTAAGGTCTTTAATTTTTATATCAGTTTGGTCTACAATTCCTGATTGTCTTTACTCAAGCTCAACATTAATGTCAAGCAAGTTACCTAGGAGACGAAAGAGATCAAAGAGACAAAAAACCCTCAAATGTCTGATTAATCAAGCCTGCAAACAGCTTATTTCTTTTAGCCTGCATGCAAGTATGAAAATGAGATTCTGGGAGCCGTACATTGTGCAGATTTGTTCATTCTTATCAGAACAAAGCCAGCGGCAGCTTATTTCATGGATCATTGGCACTGTCATCAGTGCTACACAGAACGGGTGACAGCTCCTCATTTTGAGGCTTGAACAAAATTAGCAAAAAGTCGGCACAAATTAGCCTCTCATCTTTTTAGTAATATGACATTATTCATTTACTTTTTATCCAATTTTTAATTTTTTCCTTGTCAGCTATCCCTTTCTAGTGTTTCTCGCACGGCATCATGAAACGCTTTTAAAACAAGCAAAGAAATGGCTGAAGTTGAAATGGAATGTAAAGTTCAGGCAGAAGAGTAAACATTTTTATTAAGTTGCAGTAGAATCTACTGTAACTTCCAGAAAACTTCCCTGCACATCAAGACATTAAACATCAAACATCACAAAGCAAAGACATTCCTCATTCAGACTGGAAATGCTGAATGATGCAAGTACTGACACAACTGATCCAAGAACCGCTCCAGAAATATCTGGGTATGAAAGAAGAAATGTCAAACCCACAGAAGCTCCAACAAAACACTGATATTCAAACAGGTCCTGAAATATCCTATGACCATACCAGAGAAGCCAAACAGCCCTTTAATACAGTGTTACAGTTTCTCATCAAATATGAATCTGGTTATTTCAGGCTTGCCTGTAGCAATGATTTTCTCCTTTTATGTTATGGAATGTTATCCGTTGCTGACGTATATAAAATATATAAAGCAAACAAGAATACCGAGTGGATTTTGCAGTGAAAATTGTCCCCTTTCAATGATGTGTTCAACTTCCACTGTAAAATACTTTGTAATACCTTTGTTGTATTTTTATGCTGTGTATTACAACGTCAAATTATATTTGGATGACACAGTAATGGAGCAAGGACAGAAAAACTGTTCTAATATTAAGCTCTTTGCTAGACTTAAACATTTAAATGCAAGTAACTTCTTCCATTCATGAGAAAACACAGCATTAAAAAATTAACCATAAGCTGTTAGATGCTTTACAGAGCCCCCTTATAACAAAGGCAGTTTTAAAAAAAGAACTGTAGTACTGTTTTCAGCAATTTCTTTATCTCTGTTCTTCTAAGTAAGAAAGCTTATTAACAAGCTTTGAACTTAAAATCACATTTACAATAATGTGCCATCAACAGTTTTATAAGCTAATTAGAAAAAAAGATTAATTAATGACTGGCTGCTAATAAAATGGCAATCATGAAGAAAGAAACCAAGGGTGCTAAGCTTCAACTACCACCAATTAAGAGCTAATTACAAACAAATTATATATGTGTTTTGCTGTGGGCTTTAATTTACTAAAATGGTTTTAATTAAAAGAGAAAACATGCTGATTAATTGAACTGCAGAAAAAATCTACAGTATAAACTGTGCTTTGTCTGTCTCTTTAATTAGACTTGTAACATCTGAAATCTTTTTTTAAGGTTTGTTAAGGAAAAGATATACATAATTAAGGGAGCATAAGAATGTAATTCTAGGTGATAACCCTGCCATGTTCTAAAGGTTAAAAGAAAACCACCTCAATGAAGAGAGGTATTTGGAAGCACCTCTACTAAGAGTAAGAAAGGAAAACCTTCAGAGATAAAAACAGAAACTCTTTCTTTTTTTTTTTTTTCTTTTTTGGGGGGGCCCTTCAGCAGGCAAGACTTCCAAGTTAACTGGTACTTGGTGATGTTCCATATAAAATTGCATCGCTCACTTCAGGTTCCTAAAAGCTCCATGAGAAACGATAAATGCTGCACAGAATTTAGAAATTTTATTTTACCAACAGAATATCTTCAATAGAATATCGAACACCTGTCCATCTCTAACAGCAGTGTCACCACCATCAATCATATCCAACCCAGATTCTCAAATGCAAACCAGTTTCCAGAAGGGTTCTCAGCAGTCATGACCTACAACCCTGGCTGTGTTCTTCCCTTCCTAAATGGTGTGACCACAAGTTATGGACAGACAGCAGATACTAATTTGATCAGGAGGAAATGGGCAAACTGAAGCATCAAATTTGGGAGACAACAGCAGGACTGATCTTGCCTTAACATGAGAACGATATCCCAGTGAATGGCCAATTAATTTCATCAATTATGATGTAGATCTTTCATTTAAGCTTGATTAAGTACCAGAGCGTCCCTATAAATTGCAGCTTTTAAAAATCTTTCACCAAAACATCAAAAGCCACTAAGCTGAGCACTCAGAACAGTGCTGTCAAAAAGTCTGTGCTATTTAGAGACTGACAACTACTCCAGCAACTTAGCACACTAAACTACAAAATATTTTAGAAGTCCCTTTTGACAGGTAAGTCTAATATGGTCAAGATCATTTTATCATGTTCATGTTACAGTCCTCAGGCTAATGTGCTCTTAGACAATGTGGCACCTACCTAGCAGGCAGTTAACACAAAAACCACAAGAAAAGGCCAAGTTTGAGCTTTAGTCAGATTAGTCCTCCGAATATTTGAGCCATAAGAAATCTGTGTTCTGCTTTTTGAGACATCACACCATGACTTGAGCACAGAAGCACTACGAGAAAACCTCTCTGCCTAGGGGAAAAAAGCTTGGAAAATATATATTAGGAGTGGAAGTGGGGAATCTTTTCAGATTATTTGGAAAACAATTTTTACAAGTATCACTCCAAACAGAAACTGATTTACAGCAAAGTGAAATTACCAGGTATCTCCACACACCACCCTTACTCAAAGGGATGAACACATCCAACCATGCACAGTCACAGTGCTCTAATTCATCAACATTTATTCTTTAAAAATAATCTAGGCAGATTCCCACAAACACAGCAGGAACAACTTAATTACAGCTCAAGATACTATTCCAAGAAGATTTTTACCAAGCATTAAAAAGTTGACATAATTCCAAGTGTCTGTTCCCAGCCACATATCCAAGTACCTGCTATGGTTGGATCTCAGCTATCCCACCCTAGGGCATCACAAAAAAAAACCCATTTTATTTCAGCCCAGGTAAGTGGCCCTATAAACTTTATTCTCTTAATAACTTTCATTCTAAAAGGTTCAGAATTTCTTTATTAACTCCTGCATTATTAACAACAGCTCTACTGCCATCCCTCAAGGTAAACAAGTCATCCTTAAATGCAGTGTTCCAACAATAGCTTTAGGTGTTCCAGCCTGCATTTGAGAAGCAGAACTCTGAAACATGAAGGACTCTGCCAATGCTGGAAGCCCTGGAATGTGATAACAAAGACAGCAACTGGATTACAACAATGAACAATGACTGTGCACATTATACCATGCACACTGCAATGAATTGCTAGTTATTTAATGCTAATAGCACTGTACTGCAGCTATTAAAGAAATAATTCAGCAGTCTGCCTGTGCTTGAAGATCTACAGCGAGTTAATATTAAGCAGTATGAGCCATGTGCATTATGTTGTTCCTCAACACATTTATCCCAGCAGTGCTGATCTCGTACACTCCAGCTGCATCACAGGCTGAGGTGCTCCAGCAGAAGCTAAAGGAGCACAGAACTGATGGCCCAAATTATTCTGTACAACACAATGCAGTGATGTCAGCATTTCTGCAGGAAGAATTTCACTCCTATACAGAAGAATGAAATCAAGAATTGCAGGATCACTAGACCTCTCAGTGAAGCAGGATGTCCCACATGAGAACATGCTCTGGAGATGGCCGAGGATACCACATTTAAAGATCTGCTACCCTGATAACTGACAACAGGAGACAAGGGCTAAACACTTTGTAGTGAGGTTTGTCAAGAGATCACACAGAGTATCAGCATCATTATGTAAGTACAATTCCCTTTTATAACAGAACCAACTGCCAATAAAACAGGGGTAACACACATCAGGTAGTCTCAAAAGCTGCACAGGAATCCTCACAAGTAAATACAGCTTCATGTATAAGGTATCCAAGCTCTAACTCTCAGTCCCAAACCTGGAACGCTACCAGACTGAGAAGTTTTGTTTCAAAAATCAGCATTTGTGCATATTTGTCAAAGCAGAAGCAAACCACAAATAACATATTGCCCGATGCCTCACTTACTGCAGCACAATAACGTCTTCCTCACAGAACCTGCAACAAGTACCGCTTGGAAAGCAAAAGACCCAAAACCTCGAAGCAGTATCATTTAGGTTTTTAGGATGTAAAATTCTGTAATGCATTCACAGCTGCTAGATTATGCATATTGCCTAAGTCATCACTGATTTTGAATGAATTTGGTTTTAAAAAACCTTTTCTCACTGTGTCATAATGATAGCATATTGACAGCATCATTTTGACATTCCTTTGCTTTTTAGGATGTGTTTTTACTGCCTGTACTCATCATCTGTTTATTTTTGGCTTCATTTTTCTAAATACTGGAGCTGCCCTATCAGTTTCACAGGCTTATAAATGTTATACATCAAAAATTAGTTTCACTTATTAAGGCAGGAAACGGCTTTAAGAACTCTGGGATCTGTGCCTCAAAGCAAAAGCTTTATCAGCAGGTTCCAGTCACTGCTTCTTGCAAAAGAAAATGGTGCCGATTAAAACCCCCTACACCTGATTTCAAAAAGAACACCTACCCACTGAACAGCCTGCACATGGCTGCCAGGGGGGCTGCACCCCCAACAGCTTCTTCTCACACACCCTCTGTCCCCAACCCTGTCACACTGCCCCAGAAAAATGAAAACTACACAGAAAGAGATGGAGGGGAGATAAAAGAACAATAATTCATCCACCCACTGCTCCAGACTTCAGAAGTGGTGCCCTTCAACACAGCCACAGTGCATGCCCGGCTCCCTCACGGTGCTGTCCTGCATTTGGAAGTCAGAGGGACACGAACAGCCCACACTTTAAAAATTAACTCACTTCTCAGAAGCATTATACAAAAAGAGTTTCAAAAGGGACATTTCTTTAAATTGCTAGGAGAAGGAAGGCAGGGAGTGAATCAATACTACACAACATGAAAGCAATATGAACTGTACTTGTACACAAAGCAAGGGCTGTTGAATCAACCTCTTCCATAAGCAAATCCTTCTCTACAGCTCTTCACTGAATCAGTCACTCTTAGAACAATTTCCTTAGGGAAAAAAAAAAAAGGCATTTTAAAAGATTCATTTAAAAAAATACAGCTTCTGAAAATCACAAAGGAAAATGAACCTTGCAGTGAGTAATGGAACACATCCTTACAAGAGCAGAGAACCCCAGTGAATTCACATGGAATCTGCCTCAACAGAACTCCTCATGAGAGATCAAGCCAGTCATTTGAGTTTTCCTTCTTTCAACACACTATTTATTCAGATAAACCCACTTAACCAAAACCAAGTCAAGGCTGTGAATACTAATAATGTTTCAAGCATTTTGTTTTCAGAATTACAACATGCTAATATTTGAAAGTCAACAATTTGGAGCTAATGTTCTACAAATAATAATACATTGCTGCAGCACCTGGGATGTGCTAGACGTTGCATAATCCCATGGCTACCAAAATCAGATAACAGTTTATCATAAATATTACAAAACCTTAAAACTTCTCACATTGTTTTTATAGTCAAACAATTTGCACTAGAACCTCAGTATGTTTTATTGATTGTGATACTCTAACCACTTCAGAGCAGATGGGATAATGACATTTGTGAAGGAGAACAGCAAGTGCTTTTCATGTTGTACACATGAAAGGTAATGTCACAGCCAGAAGCTGGTCAGACCTGAAGGGAACCTCAGGACACGTTCCTATCACTGTCAATAGCTGTTATCTCTGCAGATTGAAGTTCTGTGATCACTGGTGACAAGGCAGATAAGAGTCTAGTCATTGGAAACTGCCCTGAGTGACTAACTGGAAGAGTTTAATGACTGTGTAAGAACACTCCATGAGGAACAGTTAGTTTTGCCTAACCTTACAGAACTTAAACAACTGTATTCCTCATTTCAAAAGCCATCTCTTTTTAAAGCCACCACAACACTGTAATACATTGCAATAAACAGATTTAAATCTGCAGTTTTACATTAAGCTTACTTGAAACCCCTGTATTTAAGAAACATTTACAATATTTGAGTGACTACTCATTAAAATTTGTCTTTTCAATACCTTTAAATTTTGAAAGCATTTACAGTGGGTAGAAAACTCTCACTACCTGTGTGAAGATGGAAGAAGATGCAAAATGCAGGAATGAAAGCAAAAATTACGTAATTATTTTGAATGTAAATCTAGAATCTCTAAATTATACAAACCAGATTATTTGGATTTTTCCTGAGCTGGCTTCAAAGCTATTCCAGCCGTATTTTTATCCCCGTTTTCTTCCTCTGCATTTTCTCCCCTGTGCACAACTAGCAGTGGGCAAAACAAACCTCACGGATTTAAATTACATATTTACAGATACATTACATATACAGCTGCTACCACCTACCTTACATGCACCTATTTAAGTACTTCTGACATGAAATCACCAGAGCTACCTGACAGATCCCTCACCAGCTCAAGTATTCACTGAGCACTACATACAGATTTATTAGGGTCCAATTTTTATAGCAAAGAGCAGCACAGCCTTCATGAATTTCTCACGTACACCAGCAGACAAGACAACATCTTGAAAAAAACTGTGTTTTTCTCACCTGGATTTGTTTTTAGATGTGCACTTTTACACTAAAAAGTTATGACAAGGAGAAAAAAAAAAATCCAACACAATCCTAAGGCTACAGCAATATATTTGACAAGCACCCACTCCCATTCTTCTCCCCAATTCTTCCAGCCATCAACTCCTGAAAACAGGAATACACAGGAAGGAAGAGTCTTGGAACACAAGTTGGGGTATGTATGTCCTTATTTGGACACATCTCACTCTAAGCTTGCTAAATCTCTACCTGTCTTCAGCCCTCCCAAGCTGATTGAGGAGGTAATGCCAAATAAAATAGGAGGCCCAGGGAACTGGGAGGAATGGAACATCCTATCCCTATTCTCTTGGCTTGCAGCACACAGAGAGATCAGCACCTCGCTGTGGATGACCAGTTACCAACCCCTCTGACCCCAGGAGCCAGAAGAAGGCTTTGAAGCAAAGTTACTTGGCATTGTTTGTGGCTGAATTTTCAAGTCTTAAACACAGCTCCAGCTGTCCAAGCCTTACGAGGTCAGCAGCAAAGCCCTTCAGTCACTGCCAGGACTCTGCTCAGGGAACGGGAAGGACGGAGCAAACAATCAACACTGTCTTAGTCAGGACACTTTTTGTACAGACGCACAGAACTCAACATCTCCTCGGAGTGTTTGTGAACAGCCCACTCACCTCACGCATGGCCAGCCTGTCACTCAGCTCCTCAGCCTTGGCAATGTCCCCTTCAGCCACACACCTCTCTATGCTGAGTTCAAGGCCAGACTAGGAAAACAAACAAACAAACAAACCTTTAAGACCCAAAGAACACATTTAAAGAGAGCACCTCGTTTCTAAAAGTATTTCTTTCATGAAATTCTTCAGGACACTGCACAAACCTGCACTTTCCATGCGACACAGACTACTCTGTCTCTGTGGACTGTAATGGGCAGTATAATTAAGAATTCCCTGAAAGGTTGCCCGAGCACAAATCATTGCATTAGTTCCACCTTATGTGCAGGATAACACTATAGGTTAAAAAAATTACACGGACTAGTTTATGCCTGTCACAGTGAAATTTCATCTGAAGATCTGCCTTATCTCTTCCATCCCTGGAGCCTTCTAAACAAAATGTGAAATATATGTGTCAGGTAACATGAAGAATGGCAATTACCACTGTATCGTTACAGTTCTAAGATCTTATCTCTCTCCAAAATCCGAGTTCTGGCACGATGCCACTCCCTGTACTAATAAATTAAAAATTCTAGCAGCCCGACGGAAAACAATGAAAAAGCTTCAGAATCTAAAGGTCACTTTCTTATTTTCAGAGGTTGTGATCAATGTAACATAACTTGTTCAACAGCAGTATTTTACAAATAACACCACCATAAAAAGTGTGACTTGATCATTTACTCTCAAATAGACTCAGTTTTACTCCCATCTCAGTGATGTCAACTTCTTTTACTATGAAGTATAAGCTGACACTGCGTTTGTATCAACATTCACCTTTTGTGGGGCCCTGCTATGCACAGGTGATTCAAATCTATCATTGATTCCAAAGTACTGTGTAAGTTCTTTCCATTTCTCTTCATTTTCCAACTGTTGGCTACTAAAAACAAACAAACAAGTCATCAGTGTAACCAGTCCCCTTTCCACAACTTGTAATATTCTATGCTAAATAGGATTCAGTGCTAAAATAAACTCTCCCATTTGGCAGGCATGCTCTCTTCACCCATTCAGTTTTTAATTCAAGTGAAATTAATTATTCCTCCCCCTCTGTAAGTATAATTCCAGAATGCTGAAAGCAAGCTGATAGAATCATAGAATCATTCAGGCTGAAAAAGACCTTTAAGATCATCAAATCCAACTGTAAATATAACACAGAAGGAAATACAATATAAGAAGGAAGAAAGAAGAGAAGGAACAGACTGAACAGAAGGTTGTATGCAGTTACTTGCAAAACACAATCAGAAATAACAAGTCTATTTCCAGTTACAGTGAATAATAAATTAGTGTTGATTTTTAAAATCAAGCAGTAAGTCCATTGAGCAATCACTGGCACAACCTCAGCCTGCCCGAGAGAGACACGGAACAAATTCAGCAGATATTTAACATGGTGTTCAAAATCAGGCTTTGGTCATGCCTCTCATCAAGCTTTTTTTTTTACAAGTTTTGCCTGATACTGAAAACGGACCTCAGGAAATCACATTGACCTGGTTACAATCACATTGACCTGGTTATACCTCTTAGTCACCTCATCGGCCTTCGTCTGCTTTGCTGAGGGGAAAAAAGAAAAGAGAGATCCAGCATTACACAGCAATACCCCACAGCACCCAGGGAAGTCCCAGAGCTCTAACTGGTCCCATTCCCTTTGAAAGGCTGCCATGCTGGGATTTTTACCCAATGATTTAAACCACTCAGCTCTATGAAACTCCTACAGTATCTGTGAAGAACTTGTAAATAAAACACACTAAAGTATGATTTCTAAAATTACTGAAATATACTTAACCATTATAGAGCAATATTAACTGAGAAAGTTCTACCTTCTTTTAAAGAAGAGGACAAATATATTACTTGCATTTTTAAAGCTGCAATTTACAACCTGGACCTGCAAGTGATGTACACAACTGGAAAAATAAAACCCTACATAACAGACAGAACACATCTACTCAGGTATTCAGTTCTTCATTAAAAAGAAAAAAAAAAAAAAGCCAAAACAAAAACAACTCCCCACCCAAAACCAGCATGTGCTGATAAGGATTCAAATTCGAGAAAGTAAACTCCATAATTATTAAATACACCTTTTCGGTGGCGCTTTCTCTTTCGGCATCTGTTTTCCTGCTGTGCTTCCATTTTCATTTCACGGTGCTTCTTCTGAAGCTCCACAAATTTCTGCAAGATTAAGAAAAAGCAAATCAGTATTTTTAATTTTTTCCCCCCCATTTTTAAGAAACTACATATTGTGCTGAGAAACGCCGTCACAGTATCTCACTTCTCCACAGTACCTGGTGTTAACTACTAGATTCAAATTTATAAATTAAGAACATCCAACTCTAATGTTGTTAAAACAGAATTGGTTCTAATCCTTCACCACCTCTCCCTGACTTTCTGCCCTCCCCACATCCCAGGACTATTCAAAACTGACAGCTTTCTCATGGAATGTGCCGCAGAATACATTTCTGCTGGTCCCCTTTCCAGGTGTGCATCCCCCCTGCCGTGGCTGATACACCGAGCTGTGAATCCTCACTGATGCAGAAAGCAGCTACCAAGAAGCTCAGAGCCCAGAAACCACTGAGAACACAAGTTTCATGCAGCTGTCTAGTTATAACAACTCCTTGCTGCTCCACCACCAAACTACCCAGTCACTTCCTACCCAAATTCCTGTTCTCCCTGCTCGAAACAACCTCGGGTATATCCTTCAATCATCGCAGCTGAAAATAACACACTGAGTTATTCTGATCTAAAAATCAGCCATCTGACTTCGAGTCTGTTGCACTGCTGGTTTGGAGACCTGCAGAGACACGCACATTCCAGATGTTTACAGAGACTCCAGGAGGGCACGTCTGACACTCGCTTTCCTCATCTGCCACCGGTGCCACAACAGGTTCACTGCTGGCACTGCTGCCCTGCCCATTCCTGTCGGTGAGTTCAGACAGCTGAGCTCCTTCAGTGTCCTCCTCAGCCTCTCTCTTCGGAGAAAAGGCAGGTGAATCGTCTGCATCATCAGAACTCAGATCGACATCGCTTTCGTTCAGTCCTGGAGGCAACAGCCCACTCCACATCTTCCACTCTCAGCAAGTCCCAGCCACGTCCAGGCACTGCAGACACACCGGGTCACCCATCCCGAGGGGAAAACAACCTGCAGGAGAGAGAAACAGAAGCACCAAACACACCATCGGAAATATTTCAGCTTCTCACGAGCAACTACCAGTGCATGCTTTAGACAAGCACATTATAAAGCTCTTCCTACTTACTATTTCAGAGAGTAGACGATTTGAGTGAACAAGTTGACGCTTTAGTTCATTCCGCCCCTCCCTCCCCGTTCTTTAAAGTTATGCCCCTTCGCATTTGTTTACGGCTGCTTTCGGTTTAGGAACGACAGCGCAGCAATCACCTCCCGTCCCTCCGCCGGAGCAGCTTCCAGGGGATATCAACCCCCTGCCCTTGCCGGCAGAGCAGAGCCCGCCCGGGGCACCTGCTCCGGAGGAGAAGCGGCTCCACCGCAGGGTGGGGAAGGGAAAACGGCCCCCTCAGCCCCCGCAGGCCGGGCGGCGCTGCCAAGAGCCCGCGGGGAGCCCGCAAAGAGCCCGCAGAGTCCCCCGGTGTCGGTGTCCCGGCCCCGGCCCCGGCCCCGCCCGGCCGTGTTTACCTGGCCGCCATCTTGGCACCGCCGGAACACCCCGCCCGCCCATTGGGCTGTGCCGCGCAGCCAATCAGCGGCCGCGCCCGTCTCCATGGCAACGAGGCGGGGCGGCCCCCGGGAGGTGTGGCCATGGGAATGTGGGGCGTGTCCTGGGAATGTGGGGCGTGTCCCGGGAAAAGGTGTGGGATGTGCCCTGGGAAAGTGTGGGATGTGCCCTGGGAAAAGATGTGGGATGTGCCCTGGGAAAGTGTGGGATGTTCTTTGGGAAGGTGTGGGATGTTCGTTGGGGAAGGTGTGGGGTGTTCCTTGGGAAGGTGTAGGGTGCGCCCTGGGGAGTTGTGGGGTGTTCCCTGTGAGGGGAACAGATTCCCACAGGCTTCCGGAAGAGTCCCCAAAGGGGCAAGTGGCCCCACAAGTGCCACTGAGGTTGTTGTCAGAATCACAGAACCAGTTAGGTTGGACGAGACCTCTGAGGCCATCGAGTCCAGCCTGTGGCCAAACACCACCACGTCAGCCAGACCATGGCACTGACGCCACGTCCAGGCTTTCCTTAAACACCTCCAGGGACGGTGACTCCACCACCTCCCTAGACAGCCCATTCCAGTGTCTCATCACCCTTTCTGTGGAGAAATTCCTCCTCATGTCCAACCTAAACCTCCCCTGGCGCAGCTTGAGGTCGTTCCCTCTCACCCTGTCCCTTGTTCCCTGGGAGCAGAGCCCGACCCCCACGTGGCTAAACCCTCCTGTCAGGGGGTTGCAGAGAGTGATAAGGTCCTCCCTGAGCCTCCTTTTCTCCAGGCTCAACAACCCCAGCTCCCTCAGCTGCTCCTCACGAGGCTCGTGCTTCTTTCAGAAGAAAGACAGGCAGCAGGTTGTACAGCAGTCCCGGCTGCCATAAAGAAGTGTGGCATCTGTTCCAACAGTGAACCCCATAATCACGCCACACCAAAGCCTTTATGCGGGGACAGAATGACTATGGTCACACCCCTCAGGATACAGAGAGAGGTTTAGGTTGGTCATTAGGAGGAAGCTCTACACAGAAAGGATGATCAGACATTGGCATGGGCTGTCCAGGGAGGTGTTGGAGTTAGTGTCTCTGAAGGCATTTAAGGAAAGACTGGACGTGGCACTCTGTGCCATGGTCTGGGGTGGACAAGGTGCTGTTAGGTCACAGGTTGAACCTGATGGTCTCACAGGTCTTTTCCACCCCAGGTGATTCTGTGATTCTCTGAAGAGAGCAGAAAATCTAAAAAAGAGATATTTTTCAAGAACTGAAAAGTCCTTTCAAGGTTCCCACTAGTGCCCTGTATTAATGTGGGAAAGAGAAAACCACAAAAATGCAAAGTCACAAATCTTATGAGGTTGTTCCTTGTCGCTTCTCTTCCAGCATCAGAGCTCACGTTTTCCTTAAGCTGCTCCAAGAACGTGGAAAAGCTCTTAGAATCCCGCTGGGAATTTTGAGTCTCACAGCAGTGTGCTGGGTGCTTCAAAGGGAACTGTCAGTCCATGCAGAGCACTCAGCAAAGGACGTGTGGAAGATTCTGTTAACTCCTTGTCCTTTCCGCTTTCTCAGGTGAGACACACAGCACGAAATATTTAGGAGCAGCCTGAATACGACTCAGCAAAAGCACCTTGCACATGAGGAGCAACAGGAAGGGAGGCACAGAGGAACTGCGAGGAAACGATGAAGGGGTAAGGCTGACGTCACTAGCACTGAAATGTGTCTGCAAGAGGGGAGGTTTTCCTTTTTTCAGATGGTTGCTGAGAAGATGTATCTTTGAGTGACAATTTGACGGGTTGAAAACTATATCTCAGTATGATACTGAGACTTCTGGGGAAGGAATTGCTGACCCCAAATCAGGACACAACCCAGTTGTGGACATACATGAGGGGAATGGGAAGAGGGCAAGTGCGATGGAGATACGGAATATGGCTTTGAGTAGGGATTTCTTGGTGGATCACAGCTTCTGGGATTGGCTGTGCATGGAAGGGAAAACTAAGTGCCTTTCTCATGGACATAAAACAGATCTTCAGATTGTTTTCAGTTTTATGCCATAATTTTACATCCTTAGATTCATTTCTAAAATCAATTAATTCCATAAGTAATCACTTTTTCATGAACTACATGTAAATTTCACACTCAGCTTGCTAACTAGATTTTCCTCTCATCTGGGAAATCAATTTTTAAGAGAGTTATTTTATTTACATTTAATAACTGGTTATATTTGGTATACAGATAACTGGTAATTAATAACTGTATTGATACTGGATATTCACTGCCATTTGTCCTAGGAAGTTGTTAGACCATTGGGCTGCCTGATGTCTTCTTAATTTCAACACACTCAAAAAATTGAAAAGTGTGTGACATCTCTATGACCTGTAAATGTATGTGTTTGATAGGGATATATTTTCAAAAGGCAAATTTAATTTCATGTGACACAATTTGTGTCCAAACATTGTGTTCCTTATTTAGTATCCACAAGCCAATGGCACTGGTAGTGCACACAAATGAAGTACTCAAATATTCACATTAATTTCATTTTATAATTGCACAGTAGTTGTACTTGTAATTTTAAAAGCCAAATTTTCAGGATAATGTCCAGTCCTCCCACGATAAACTCTGAGTTCTCACAGGTTGTTCCATGAAAGAAAAATGGTGGCAAGAGCTCCTGCCTGACTTTCATCAGTCCAGAAGCATTTGTACTCACAAAGTTAGTGCTTGATGAAAGCACAAAAGAGATTGTTGGCTATTAACAGAATTTGCTATTTCCTGTGGTTTGTGTTTTGTTTGGGGTTTTTTGTTTGTTTATTTGTGAGAGAGTTTGTTGTTGAAACAATGGTTTTTGAAACAAAGGTTTTTTTATTCCAAGAAGAAAACAGAAGGCAGCACAACCTTGTGACCAACACTCATGTTCATACATCAAAATCATGAGAGCTGCTATTGTGTCCAGCACTTGGTTCAGTGTCAAATTCTTCTCATGGCAATTTTCTGTTCCCCATTGAGCAAATATTCAAATAACCTGATTTATTTCCTTTTGGTCAACTGATCTAACTTCCTTTCTCACTTGAATTCCTGTCCTGGAGACCTGCCAAACAGTGACTCTTATGACTGAAACGAGTCATGCCTCTGAGATTCCTGTGGAACACCAAACTAGCACAACACAGTAATTACAGCTTGGATATTTTTGACACTATTATTAAGAGCCACTTGAACTTCAGAAGGAAGCACCAGTGCAATTAGATGTAACACGAAGCTGAATTTGAATCTTCCATGATCTCCCTGACTTTTCAGGTTCTAGGCGATCTTCTCTGTATCTCTGTTACCTTCCTTTACCTGCAGTTGGATATTTACAGACACTGCTGTGAGTCCCAGTTGTTACTGTGTACTTTGTCCTGTGTATTTTCTTGTGGCAACAGGAATATGAGGTTCCTGCTACAGGAATCTCTGCAGAGCAAAGCAGCTGGTGCGCTCAGGAACTGGAAACAGCAGCTTTTGGTGCTGGTCTGTCAATTGTCCCTGTACGGTAGCCAAGTATTAGTGTGTAAGTGCAAACCCTGTACATTTTATTTCTGCAAAACATACAATTTCCTGGATCAGAAATGAAATCTCCTACAACTTACATTTTGCATTATTGCTTGTTTCTTTTTAGCAGTAAATGAGGAGGTAAGAAACTTTTTTCATAAGCATAGAAAAATGCTACATTTTATCCTTTTGAGGCAGTGTTTTCAAACTATGTCAAAATGATCAAGAACTGGATTCTTATTTAAACGTTACAGGAAGACCTTATTGTATTAGCAGATTACAGTCATTGTGTTGGTATACTATCTACCTTGTCTTCATTTTTGCTAACATAATGAGAAATTTTTCTAGCATGGTTATATTTTAATGCACTAAAATAGTGTTGGAGAGGAAAATAATATGATTTTAAAGAGAGATGTAAAGACAATAAAATAGCCTCTGGGTTTTCCTTCCTAAACTTTTAATTTGTTGTGAACTTAAAATATACTTTTTATCAATCCTTTAAAATAATTATAGTCAAATGAACATTTAAACTCAATTAAAAGGTTTACAGAGGGCTTTTTTTTCCCACATACTCTGCCATAGAAGATCTAAGCAGGTCTGCTCAGATGTTCCTAAATTTTCTTGTTTGAGAGAAGTACATAACTGAATAAATCGGTATCAAGTCCTGACTCTTTAGAAAAAGGCATCTCTAAAGCACTAGGACACAGTATTCAGGGAGGAAGTAGGACCTTTTGTCCAGAATTCCAGACTGAAGCTTGGAAGACTGTGCTCAGTTATTATTCCTGCCACAGCCTTCCTGTGAGGAACGAAGAAGATATTTTCAATTTTAGTGACTCACAGGTAGAAAAGAGTTTTTATCACCTATATCCATTCCAAGCATGAACTCTGTAGGTTCTCTGGGTTCTCAGAAGAAGTTTTTTGCTGAAGACAAAGGGGTAACTGAGCTGTTGCAGATGCACCCATGCACCCTTACCCTATTTCAGCAGGATCCCAGCAATGGTAGGCCAGTGAGGGGATGAATTCACTTCTCGTTATTCCACAGTATTCATTCATCCCCTTGGCACTGGGGACTGGTGTGTTTTCTGACCCGACTCCTGTGTTGCTACAACTGCATTTGTTCCTTTGAGTACAGGCTATGTTTTATGGGCCCTGCAGCCAGGATTCCCCACAATGCACACATCAGCCCAGTGTCAGGTCCTCACCTGGAACGGGACAGATTTCAGACATCCAAACACATCAGTTCCTGTTTTGTGGTTATGAACACTAAGTTCATGTACTGGATTGGGATCTTGGATCCATTCCTCTGGCAATAGAAGAGAAACATCCTTCTACCATATCAGTAAATGGAATATCATCAGACTGTTTTTCACAAAAAGGGTTAGGAAGCAGTTTTCTCAACCTCTCAGAGAGTTTTTCTTCGTGTATTAATTGGTGTTATTTAGAAGCACAACAGTGACTCTTAAGCTTGGAGTCCCATCACGTGGCACTCGGATCTGGAGCTAGGGCAAGGCACTTTTAACCT